ACTAAGACGCAAGAGGCTAATGGAAATGAAAGGGAAGGGGAAAGTCTTTGGAAAGAACCGGTTGTCTTTAGTCTTCAATTTTTAGTGATTTTTTTTCCCCTGATATCGGTTTTGTCAAATATATTTTTATTTACAAATTGTATTACCGGATTTTTTTCACACCGCCATAGTATAGGTATTAAAATAATACAGTCATTATATATATATATATATATATATATATATATATATATATATATATATATATGGTATAAAATGACAATTGGCAAAAAATCTTAGATTTTGCCGACGCGTTTCGTCTTCCGATATTTTCAAGGCAAAATGAAATCGAAATATTTTTGTTGTTATAGTTACATTAAAAATGTCCAAATTTAAAAAGATAGACGCTTCTGCCTAAGCCTTTTTTCTGGTTAATGTAAATTACCTTTATAGTAAAGGATGTTTTTTCATGTCGACGATATATCTGGGAATTTAACTATATATATATATATATATATATATATATATATATATATATATATATATATATATATATATAAGTATATAATTGGTGTATACGGAATGAATTCCAATAACCAACAATTACTATTCTTAAAAAGAGTGCTCAATACAAAGTAGAGCAGATATAATTATTTATTTTAAAATTTATTTTTGTAGTGATTTTATAACATGTTTATGTTTATGTTAAATAAATATATATATTTATAAATATATATATATATATATATATATATATATATATATATATATATATATATAAGATGCGTTAGGATTCGAAACTGACAAGAGATGTATATTTCGAGAATTGAGCAATGTCTGAAGTTCTTCGTGCCCGAGAGGTCAAAAGCACGTCAGTTTTCCCTAGGTTCGAATCCTGTCAAAGTGCGCATATTTTTCTAATATGATTTCTCGAATATTCAAGCTAGTAGATGGAAATAAATAAATATACTGTATACTAAATAAATAAAAAAGTAAATAAATAAAAATAAATAAAAAACAGACCGTCCGCCCAAATATGTGTCCATTAAAATAACGTTTAAGCAACAAATTAATATATATATACATTCTTTGATGACGAAATAACAAATCGGATCGCCAAAGGCCTGAGAGCACCTTAAGGTAGAGGTCTAACTGTTAAAATAATTATCTTGAATGAATAATCATTTTTATTCTTTTCACACACACACACACACACACACACACACACACACACACACAGATATATATATATATATATATATATATATATATATTCTCAGTAATGTTCGAAAATGGCTTTGGTAACATGGAAAGTGGTATTAAATTTCCATTTCGAACCAGTGGTGGCCTTTTCAACCCTCAGCTGTTAGAAACTAAAACACTTCCCACTTCTCCGAAGTAGTGTCATGGTTTGATCTCTGCTGATAATCCTGCACTTGTGACAACATTCCTAGAGGAAGCCAAACTGTTTCTCTGTTGCATGCAAAGCTTTTGGCCTCATCATTAGCATAAAGAAAACGGAGATCATCCATCAGCCGCCTCCTTGTCCAAAGCAGATTTTGGGTGTCAGCCTCCACCACTTCATCAGTTCCAAGACACTCGTATACCGGTTGATGTATATGAAGTCATTTACATACTTAAGAAGTAAGATGCAGTTGCATCTCTGACGAAAAAACAAATCGGATCTCCAAAGATACAAGTGCATTTGGGAAGCTTCGCCACCGACTATGGAAGGAGAGAGGTATCAAATTTGACTCCAAAATACGGATTTATAGAGTGACCGGTTTGACTCCAATGTTGTATGGCTCAGAATCGTGGACACCATGGATTTCTAGTTTTACCGTTTGTCCCTTATTTCAAACATTGAGATTGGTGGGTAGAACTTATGTTGGCATCGTTAGTTGGTCTCGCAGGAAACGAGGGTTCCTTTTTTTTCTTTTTATGTGTTTGATAGTATCATGACATCACATATGCTTAGGTATGTTGCCTTAAAGAGTGTTTGGTGGTGACCACTGCCGTTGTTCCATAGTGTGCCAACTTGGATGTGTCGGAACCTTAGTTTCCGCGGATTTCTTGAAACCAATATACCAAATTTAGACAGTCTCAGCTTCCTACTGAAAATCAAATTAGCTGTTTTTTCACTGTCATAAATTTATTTTTATCTTGGAGTTAAATAGCACAACGCATATGGTCACCTATTGAGTGCTTTTATTTTACTTTGTAGGGGAATTTTGCCGACTACTTGTCTGTGAAGGAAAGAGAAGATGTGAGTTAGAGAGATTTCCAATATTTTTGCACGCTACTATAATCTAGTAAGTGCAGGTGGTGTGCGTTCATTAGATAGCAAAAATTCTCACTGAATTTTTCTTTAGGGAGAAAACAGTTTTTGCAAGGAAATTCGCTCACTTTCTCGCTGATTGTTGATTCGTTAATTTACGGGAGAATGAAAAGCCAGATAAATTCACCGCTTCTTTCTTTCTCTTTTAACGCTTACCAACGCGATTGCCAATCTCCAGCACTGTGACACTAAACTGACCCTATCAAATATATTGTACTTCGGAAATACATGTGTGTTTTTTTTATTAGTTAGATGTATTATTAGATACCTAAATCAAACGAGTACAACAATTTAAAGAGGAAAGTACGACATTGCAATCTGAAAGCATATTGGAATAGCGGAAGATGTCTTCCAAAAGCTAGGCAAAGTATCAAGAAATGGGAAAATCTCGTTAGAAACAAAGGAAAGAGTACTGAACTGTTATGTAAAATCAGTTTTCCTGTATGGCAGTGAATGCTGGACAATCTCCTCACAGATGAAGAAAAGACTTAAAGCAACAAAAATGTGGTTCTACAGAAGGATGCTAAGGATGACGTGTGTTGAACAATTGAGCAACAACAATGTTTTAGAAAAAATGGAAACAAAAAAGGAGACTTATACTTAACATCGTGAAAAGAGAGTTGAAATTTCTAGGGTATATAATGACGAAAAAGGGCTTGGAAAATTTGATACTCCCAGGACGCATGAAAGGCAATAGTGTAGAGGAAAGCGGTACATAAACTACCTGTCGAACTTGTACAAATGGATGTCGGAGCAAGGTTTAGAAGAGAGAACAAAAAGATAAGACTTATTAAGAGCTACAAAGGAGAGGAAGTTGGGGAGAGTCATGATAAAGGGACACACCACGTAGAAGATGAAGAATCCTTAAACGTATTCTCTTCATATAATGTTAAATATATCGTTATATTTTTAACTTGTCTATACCTCAGATGCCTCTTTTGTAGGAAGTACATAATGCACGTGGCCATGTCTACTTCGCGGACATTTCAGAGGCAACACTGATGAAAGCGTTCATGGAAGGCTACAGTGATAGATGACTCAGGATTCAGTACCATATGGAAAGATTGACGGCACGCTTACTTTGTTTTACTGCATTTACTAAAGTTCCATAAATATTTATGCAATCCTTTCCAGACTGCGGATATGACGTAACCTAGGTAGCATGTCATTTCAGGATATGACGTAATCTAGATAGGCGATATATATATATATATATATATATATATATATATATATAGAGAGAGAGAGAGAGAGAGAGAGAGAGAACGACAGCGACATCGACGGACAGACATAGAGGCAAGCAGAAAGTGACATGGAAACATGATATATATATATATATATATATATATATATATATAGAGAGAGAGAGAGAGCGACGGTGACGGACAGACATAGAGGCAAGCAGAAAGCGACATGGAAACATGATATATATATATATATATATATATATATATATATATATATAGAGAGAGAGAGAGAGAGAGAGAGAGAGAGAGCGACGGACAGACATAGAGGCAAGCAGAAAGCGACATGGAAACATGATGTTAGAGCAAAGGATAGAGTAACGAAGAAATTGAGAAAATGAGTGTGAGAGAAAGAGAACGAAAAGGGGAGGGAGAAAAGAGGCGGGGAAAGAGACGTAACAACGAGAAAAATTTGTTAAGACGGCTCACTTATCCGGCACCCCCCCACCAAAAAAAAAAGAAAAAAGAAAAAGAAAACGACATTTATTTTGACAATTCTCTCATTCCCAGTAGTACACCTATTACTTTTTTGCCGCTTCATCAAACTGTTTGCCGGCGCCCATCTCCTTCCGGGAACTACCCCCCCCCACATATTTTTTTTACGTATCACAGAATAGAATTAAAACAATAATAAATTATCCTCTGCATCCACATGCTCTCAACGTCGACCCTCCTTTTTATCCACAAAGGCATTTTAATTCTCTGCGAAACAAGAACTCCTTCAGGCCACAAACTGCATTCATTCGAGAACGGTACAGAAATGTAATTTCAGACAAACGGCGCTAAAGTCTTCCTAAATTTTCCAGTTCGTGTCACCAGTCGAAGCATGCCGCACTCAAAACCTTCATGAAACCACCCACACTTTACCCCCCCCGCCGCCCTATTCTTCCAAACATTAGGTTTATATTTAACCTGAGGGTTTCGGTAAAGCCCGCACTATTTTCAATCTCCCACCTACCAACTATTTTATCGTTAGACCTCCGTTACACTGGCTGAGTACAGGGAACTGCATGGAGAGCTATTGCAAGAATCAATATATCAGATCAATAAAACTCTTTTCCAACATCCACCTCGCCTTTTCGACTTCTCCTCACCTATACGTCTTCCCTCACCCGCTGTCATATTTCCTGTATTCCAGCCAACGTCTCCCCCAACCCTCAGGACACGGTCCCCCTCCCAATCACTCTGTAGGGAAAATTACAAGGCTGCTTCGGGAAAGTTTGGAGAATGGGGATGAGAGTGAGCATGGAATAAGAGATACTGAAGCAGAATAACTCCCTGGAATAGATGGGCGCGGGAGATTGATTCACTTGAAGAGTGAGATTCGCTTGGGATGCATCCTGGTTTCATTCGCGACTATTGTCTAATGATAAAGAACGAAAATAACAACACATTTCCAAATAATAATAGGGGCTCTCGTTAGCCCTGTACGAAAGAGGATGCACCGAAAATATTTACGTGGACTGAATGTCTTCCGACTTGTTGGAAGTGAGAAGTTGGGGAACGGATGGAAGGTAAAACTCCAAGAAGAATCCATTGCTGCTTTTCCAGTATCTGTTACCGGTTTATCTATCTATCTATCTATCTATCTATCTATCTATCTATCTATCTATCTATCTCAATTGTTTTTACATATATCTATCTACCTATTTATTTATCTCATTGTAGTCACATCTATCTATCTATCTATCTATCTATCTATCTATCTATCTGTAAGATCGTTTATTCTATCTATCTATCTATCAAAAATATGGCAACCAAACTGTCATCATATCATAAGGATAAGCTATGTATCTTCTGGGAGATTATCGCAATTGATGCAATACACTTGCAAATATTGGTCTCTCATATATGATTTATTAGAAAAAAATCTATCACAATATGTTCATATCTATCTATCTATCTATCTATCTATCTATCTATCTATCTATCTCGGTCTGTTCACATCTATCTATCTTGGTCTGTTCATATCTATCTATCTATCTATCTATCTATCTATCTAACTATCTATCTATCTATCTATCTATCTATCTTGGTCTGTTCATATCTATCTATCTATCTATCTCAGTTGTTTTCACATATATCTATCTACCTATTTATCTATTTATCTTGTATTCACATCTATCTATCTATCTATCTATCTATCTATCTATCTCAGTGTGTTCACATCTATCTCCCTATCTATCTATCTATCTATCTATCTATCTATCTATCTATCTATCTATCTATCTATCTATCTAGCTTGTTAGCACACACACACACATACACATATATATATTAATTATTACACGCCAAGCAAGTCAATAAAACCAATAAAACGTGTGAACGAAACAATAAACACTGCATTTTAAGTTTTGCAGATCGTTGTTGATAGCAAAGTAAAAAGTAGGAGAAGAGTTCCACAAGCGAGACGTGCGCAAGAAGGAACTATTAGCATAGAACTTACGTTTACAGTAAAACGACTATACCTAGATTCCAATCTAGTACCTCGCATAAAATACGCCCATGTTACCAAAAAGGAAAACTCAAGGCGACCCCCACGAACATATTTATAGAAATGACAATGAGCACATTGCGGTGGTAGGAAAATGACCGTAGCTGAAATGCGAGGTCAGCACTTACAACATTGAAGATTTTGCTTTGGATTTTGTCAAGAACTTCTGAGTATATAGCAGAATCACCAGACCAAATTTGGCAGAGATATTCAATGCATGGACGAATGCTAGACTTATAAAGCGGAAAAAATAGAATCTGACAAGATAAATTATATCGCACGACAGAGAGAACCAGATTTCCGAACAACAGACCTAGCATTTAATTCAATATATTTTTTTCTTTTAATCATTTCACTCCAGGCAAGGCGTGAATGCCACTAGTAAGCAGGGAGTTACAGAGAGTGGAAACGAGAGTAAAGCCAGTGTATAGAGGAGATTGAGAAACGGATAAAAGATGGACGGGTTTCAAGTCAACATAAGATAGCGATTGACGTTGCATTTAAATTGGTGAAGATTGCAGTTATCAGGGAACCAATTAAATGAAAGGCATTCCACTGAAGAAAAGAAACTGCTGGAGTAGAAGCGGCGGTTACATTTAACTATTTTAACAGTAAAAGGGTGGGACCTAGATGCCAATTTAGTAGCACAATTGAATTCATGTAGTCGGGATACCAAGGAAAAAAAACTCATAAGAACAGTTGTGTTATAGAGTAGTTTCACAGTGGAGGCTTATATATCACTAAGTCGGTCCTAAAATAGGTTCGACGTACAAAACGTTAGGAACTTGATATAATAGTTAATGACGCAGTAATCTAGTTATGGTGGCTGATACTTTAATATCCGACTAACTTCGTCCGACATCAACTGACTGACCAACTCACTCAGCGACTACCACTACTACTGCTACTTATTATAAGTGGGAGAGTCTATTAACAATAGAATAGGTGTGTTTCACTATAACAAGTCGCCATAATAATATTTGTAGAGAAGACGCTACATCACGTCTGTGAGAAAGTGACTAATTTGAGATGGCAGATTACATTGGAGATCCTTCTTTGGATTTTCTCAAGATCCTCAAGATGAATAGCAGAAGCTCCAGATCAGATATGGCAACAGTATGCAATGCACAGTCGAATAGTAGATTTGTAAGTGTGCAAGATGGAGTCTGCTGAGAAAAACCTAATAACACGACACAACGAACTAAATTTCCTTACAGTAGATGCAGCTATTAATTCAATGTAGTTGTTCCATCTTAGGTCATTGGAAAATGTGAGGCCAAGAAGGAGCAATGAGACGCGCCCCTGGAGTCGAGCATCAGCCATGCTGATGGCGGACAGGGAAGTTTCTCTATGGTGGTTAAATAGGAACAGTTTAGCTTTGGAGGCATTAAAATTTAAAAGCCATTCCCTGCCGCAGTAACCACTGATTGCAAGTCCTTTTCAAGAGCAGCGGCCAGGTTAACTTTGTCAGCTCTGACGGATTTGCTATTGAGACAGGAGTAAATGGTAGTGTCATCTACATAAATGCCTACTTGGGAACTGATGACACCAGGAAGATCATTGATGAAGATCAGAAACAGCGTAGGGCCCAGGATAGAGCCTTGGAGGACACCCGCGTTCGTGTGAAAGGATCTGGAAGCAAGCCCGTTCAGAACGACCTTCATTTCACGATTTGATAAGGAATGATGAGACTAAATCAAACAATCCTTCTGCACAACCGTAGATCCCAAACTTACGTAGGAGACAAGCATATCAAACCCTGTCAAATGCCTTTGAGATATCTAGAGTCACATCATAAGCTTCGCCGTTGTTATCAAGAGCTTGATATACATATTTAGTGATGGCCGTAAGCGCATCAGCAGTAGACGGCAAAACGAAATCCATATTGTTTGTCAGAGAGTAGGTTGTGAGAGGTAAGATGCTTAACCACTTCATCAATGATTAATGTCGCGAATATTTGGTCCGAAAAGCGGCAGGAGACTAATAGGGCAATAGCTAGAGGGGTTAGAATGTTCTCCAGCATTCTTAAATAGAGGGATTACAGAAGAGTCCTCCGAGCTGGAGGCAATATTCATGAGAGGCAATAGCGAGGCAATAGTCATTAGAGAACTGGTACCAATTCAGGGGCACATTTCTTTAGTACGACAGTTGGTATCCCGTCACCTCTACTTGCCTTATGGGAGTCTAATTTAGAAATGATGTTCGAGACCATCGACGAGCATATCATTCAGTATAGCCTCAGTTCTGGAGTTGGGTAATCATGTGTGGGTACTCCAGATGAGTCGAGTATTGAGCTGGAAGAGAATTTCCGAGCAAAGCATTCCACCTTATCTGCTGTAGATGCCAGGACTTCGAATTGATTGAATACGGGAGGGATTGAGGATTTGCTACTGTTCAGCACACTCTTGTAGAGCTGCCAATAATCTCTGGAACCGAACTTACGAGTTTTTTCATTCTCTCTACAAGCAGTAACTTCGCTTCATTGAGGACACGCTGTTGACCATGTTCACCATAGTCTATGAATATAGAATACAGCGCAGTACGTAATCTGTTCAATGAAACAACGTTAAAGATTAACACTCACTAGTCAGACAATCTACTGAATCTGACTATATCGCCAATACCACCAGCAGCTGTTCCGTAATTCTTCAGTCTTCGATATCAAAGGCTGGCAGTGAGTATTCGGAAAAAAAAACATGGCTGCCTTTATACACGTCGCATTGAATATTTTGAGCCTTCTGATTGGTTAACCCTTCTATTGGTGAACTATAAAATGAGTCAGCTGATTTTGGCTGGCTCACTAGTGCACCAGGGTACCCAAAAATTCCAACACACGCTTTCACTCATTACGAGCAGGGACAATGAGACGGAAGAAGTTATTCCTGTGGTCAATAGCGGCCGAACCTCCAGGTGAGTACCAAGGAGATGAACGTAGTTGAACGTGGTATTTACTTGCTGGGATGAAAGCATCTATGTCGGCTTCCAACCAGGAGGAGACGTCAGACGAGCATTTTTGAACAGGATCGTTAAAAACTTCTTTCCATTGGACGTCACAAAGGAAATCACGAAATGAGTTCCAATCTGCTTGTTGATATCAGAAGAATATTCTGTTAGTAGGTCTTGGGTGGTTGGGGAGCGGAAGAATATTTACAGACATTACTGAGTGATCAGAGTTACCATGAGCTTCGTAGTACGACAAGAATCAGGCATATTGGTAAAAAGGAGATCGAGAAGAGAAGTGTGTCCGCCAATGTTACTGGGGAACCGAGTCGGGAAGTCCACTACTTGCGTGAGAGATTGAAAAATTAAGGTTTTGGATGCCAGCGAGATCAGTGTGTTTAAGCCACCTGGTAGTGTGTGAAGTCACCGAACACGAATATGTTTTCAAGCAGGTGTAGGGAAATGGCATTCTTTATATTATCGGAAATACAATGTAGCAGTCAACAGTTTTGAAAGGAAGGGGAACATTAGAGATAGCTGAGTTAGTTAAGTAGAGAGAGACGGAGACACATGTAAGAATGACCTAGAGATTCAAGAGAGAGTTCTCTAGTCAGCGGGAGATGTTCGCGTACATAAACTCCGAGGCAATTCATGTGGACTTTAGAGTCTTTTCCGAGAAGAGGAAGGTAGCCAGGAATCGAGAAATCAGATGAGGGGATTGAAGACTTAAGATTAGTTTTGCAGAGACCTGTCTCCAAGGTGTGCAGCCTCTCGTCGATGGCATCAATGTAGGTAAGGAAAGTCGGCAAAATGGGTCCGTATCTTCGGAAAAAGGGTTGGCTGCTCCGGGTCGATCGGGACGTGCCCGCGCGAAGCTAGGTACGAGGTTGTAGATTTCGTTCCATTCACTTCTTTGCGGCGCCGGTTCAAGGTGTTGTAGCGGACGGTCGGCGTTGCGGTCGTGCGTGTTCGGGTCGGGTCACAGGGCTCGGGTAGTTGGTGTTCAGCGGTACGCGGCGGTTTTCGGGCGCGCACGGTCGTGAAACTGGCGGCGGCTCGTCTCGGGTCGTCGTCTTTGTGCGATGCGCTGTTCACGATCTTTTCGAAGAGGGACTGCATCGTCAGAATACGGCAGAATACCACGAATGTTTGAGAAAGAAAAGTTGATCGGTTTAGCTGATTTTTTGTTGAGCTTGCTTAGATTTATATCTTTGGTATCTTATGGTCGTAGTGTGTTGTTTTGGTAAGAAAAGGCCTAGTAGAAATCGGTCGTCTAATGTAAACATGTTCAGGAAGGGTCCTGGCGCAGACTGCAACATAATGTGTCCTCGGGGTTGCCCAGCGGAGGTGCTTGTAGGTACACCCTTCCATGCGCGTCATGGCACTAGAAGCACCCCGATATTATGTAACTATTGATCAGAGCATCCTCTCAAGACGCTACGCAAGAGTTCGTGCTCCTTACAATCAGTCGTGAACAGCAAGCAGAAAACTGCCAATCCGGCAACTTTAGTATGAATAGACGTTGCCATGCATATCAAAAAAGATCATGGCGGAACCACTATTAAGGCCTGAGGAAAGGAAGGGAACCGGAAACCCCTTCCTAAACAGGAAAGAATGGATGACCCTCTACTCCTTTTCAAGAAAAGAGGGAGGAGTAAGAACCGGGCGATAGGGGAGTCTATCTACTATTATAAAAAAAATAAATAAAAATCTCGGCTTTGACTTCCGAGTTAAGCTGCGTCTCACAGTAGCGCCGGCAAAAACATGTATACATGCCTGTGCATCGGGGGTGCGGGGAGATAGAATA